CCACGATACATCTTTGAGGCACGCAGGCCATAAAGGAAAACTATCTATCTACTCCAAGCTCTTCTAGCGCGCTCTGGGGACTAATCACTTGTGCCTGAAAGCCAAATATATCTGTTCAGCGAATGATGCCGGTAACCCACTCCAACACGTTGAAATACAGTATAGATAGATATATATAGATATACGAAAATCATTTTGAAGCATGAAGATATATACTTAAGAGACACTAGTTTTAAAACCGGGAATAGACTCAGCAAGTAGGGACAAGCACATCAAACAATGATAAATAGTTAAGTAGAGATAACAACATAAGGAATACGCATCTAAGGTCACAGAACACTTTTCAATTCAAACACATCGTCATTCAATCATCATTCATATCACATAATCGTTGATGGCGCCACGGGACCAATCGCATGCCCCGAACATGATGGTTAATGCTTATAGAATTAACACGGCCCCGCAGCACCCTACCTCAGTACCGTGGTATGAGGGGAGTTGATCGCAACCAACTCTTTAAGAACCGCTGACGAACTCAACGTCGGACCATGATCCGACACACCGCTGACGCGCACAGTCGGTGGACCGCGATCCCCTTTACAAGGGGGGGACTTACGACCCTACACACCGTTGATGCGTACAGCCGGTGGACCGTAGCGGATCAAGCCCGACACACCGCTGAGCTAAACTCAGTCGGTGGGCAAAGATCCTCGGAGACTACGGCCCTACACACCGCTGTCCCATCACTCGGTGGATCGCAACCAGCCATAGCCCTACACACAGCCTAATTACTCAGGTCGGTGGACTACAGCCTTCTCGGCTTGTTGGCCCTACACACCGCCTGGCGCGTCCAGGTCGGTGGGTCATATCACCGAGGCCCATGTGGACCTGTAGTCCAAGAAGTGAATCAATTCGGCCTTTAGCCAACTTCTGAGCCTTAGCTCAGGAACAATCCATTTGGCCTTCAGCCACTTCCGAACCTTTAGTCCGGGAACAAACCATTCGACCTTCAGTCGACTTCCGAACCTTAGTGCGGGAACAATCCATTCGGCCTTCAGCCAACTTCCGAACCTTAGTCCAGGAATCACCTAATTGGTCTGTAACCAAAATGGGGGATCATGCAACACATAACACATAAGAGCACGTAGTAGCACATTGGGTGGGAAAGACATATAAATAAACTTACGTGTGATCATTCACATACTAAGAATAGTCCTAAGGGTTCATGTAATTCCTAAAACTTATTTAACCTACCAATGGTACCCGAAACATCAAGCTAAACAAACGCACGACAAACGTGGTCCGTTGGGACACCATGGGGAAGTGGGGAACATTAAACGGGGAAGCCAAAGACTTGGGGTGGGGTACGGACCAACGGGTAGCCGGTGGGTGGGGGTCACCCACCGCCTGCCCACCGGAGGACACTGTTCCGGGCAGCGGGTTGCCGGCGGGCAGGCGGCTGCCCGGTGGCTGCCCGCTGCTGGGCGGTGTCCTTCAGGCAGCGGGTAGGTGGCGGGTCCCCCTACCCCCACCAACCCCCCACTGACTCTTTTCTCATATATTCATCCCGGGAACCTTTGTAGAACTCGAAACCATGCTTAGACACTTTTAAACGCAATTAGCGACACCACGTAGGCAATTAACGGATCAAAAGCAAGAATCACGTAGAACTCATCCTATTACGACTCCAAAATATAAACAACACCTGAACATGCGAATTCCCACCCAAATATATATCAAGAACATCCCAACACAAATTCCCAATCCAACCTAGAGCTCTAATCCCACCCAAATCATCAAGATCATATTTTATCTTTAACATCAAGAAATATCAAGATTCGTCAAGAACTATCACATCAATATCAAGAACTTCCTTTCAACATCAAGATCATCAAGATCATCAAGTTTATCAAGAATGCACATAAATCCTCTTATCAATCATCAAGAACATATCACAATTAACATAGAAGAATTCATCAAGACACAAGAATATAGAGGGAGACCAAGGAAGAGATTATAGCGAAGAAAATAGGTTTTGTTGAGACATGGGTTACCTCTTAGCCTTAATTAATCCTCCCTTGGCTATTAACGTTCTTCCCTAAAATTTCCATCCGATTGACCTCCCTAGGCATGGTGGTTGGGAATCCCTTTGGAACTCTTGTGTGATGATATCTATTGTGGTGTGACTTCTAGGTGTCTCCTATGTCCTTATATATATATATATATATATATATATATATATATATATATATATATATATATATATATATATATATATATATATATATATATATATATATACATACATACATATATACATACATACATATATATATACATATATATATATATATACATATATATATATATATACATATATATATATATATATATACATACATATATATATATATACATATATATATATATACATACATATATATATATATATACATACATACATATATATATATACATACATACATATATATATATATATATATATATATATATATATATATATATATATATATATATATATATATATATATATATATATATATATATATATATATATATATATCTAGGATTCCTAATTAGGGTTTGAATGATATGGGTTTACTAATTATATTCCTTATAAGACTAAGGGTTTGGTTTAGGGATAAGGGTCCATGGTCCATGGTGGGCCATATTAATTAATTAAAGGGAATCCTAATCATAATCTGAATAGTAAAGGCCTACTTTCTTCATTCCTAATAGATAATTAGGTCTATGACTCCTAATTAGAATCTGATTAGTAAAAAGGTTTACTCCCTTTATTCCTAATAGGCTTAAGACTCTAGTTTAGGCAAGGGTCCACAATCCATGGTGGACCACATTAATTAATTAAAGGGAATCCTAACCAAAATATATCCCTTTTTAATTATTATTAATGGAATTAATTAAATAATTAATACGGGATTGAAGGCCGTAACACGGGGTGTTACATTATGAAAGATTCATATTTCCGTCCAAGATTGGCAAGTAAAGAGTATACTTTTGTTTTGTCAAGTACTGGGTTCCCTATGGCTGCAAGACTATCGCAAATAATTTTGAACTTTCTTAAATATTCTGCCAAAGACTGATTTGGATCTTTTCTGAGATATGTGAGTTGGTTGCCGAAGATTAAATTCACGTTCTTGGGAATAAGGATAATGAAAGCCTATAAGAGATGTTTAGGAACCATACCATTATCCAAAGCCTACTTGACCATCGTGGTGACGGACAGACCCACATCATCTAGAAGTGTTGATAGAATGTCGCGAGAATTCTGTCTAGGCCTGGTGACGTGCTGTAGGTATACGTGGGGTGGAAAGAAGTTTGGGAAAAGAGATTCCCGGAGTTGTCGTTCTTCATGAAGCTTTCTTTTGAATAAAAGGGAAAAGGTGAATGGTTTTCAAAATTAAAGGGATATGCACTACAATTGGTGACAATTCTCTATCCCTTGACTTGTTAAGCCCTATGTTTTAATTCTAAAGTTTGGAAATCTTGATTGTTTTGCACATGCTTAATTGGCTTTACTTTATCGCGAAGGATTAGTTTTCAAGCTCACACAAGTCCCGTAAAAATCCTAAAGTGTGGAAAGGGACAAGCACTTTTGTTGAGACCTTAACTTTCCTTGTCTACCTATGTTTTAAAGAACATCGAGGGCGATGTTTGGTTTAAAGTGTGGAAAGGGAAGCACTTTGTGCTTAAATAACTCTTGTTGTTTAATTGATTCATTGGTGCTTGATTGACGAGTGTGTTGGATTTGGAGAGTGCATAGTTGTTCATATCATGTGATAAATGTGATAGTGATGTGCCCGTACGAAAATATTTACTCTTGAAATATCTTTTGGAAGTCTTTCCCTTTACACCCAAGTTAGGAATTGCATAGATAAGCCATTTAGGTTTACATTGGATGCATGCTTGTATAAATTCACCTCTTATCTTGCTTAGACCTTAGTAAGCGATCTCTCGAAGTGGGAGTGTGTACTCTCTAATCTTGGAAAGATAAGAGAAGAAAGGTCGGGAATGAACCTAATCTTGGTAAGGTATGGGGCAAAAGGTGAAGCCTTGTGGTGAGAAGTGTGAGAAAAATTCCCTAATCCCAAAAGAAAAGAATGAGTTAAGAAGTAGGGGAATGACGTTGAGAAAAAGGCAAAGACCAAAAATAAATGGCCATCTCGTGAGATAAGAAAAGAGGTAAGCCATCTAGCTAGGACTTGGGGCAATTCCATTGCACTGTCTTCGAAAAAAAGTAGAGCTCTAAGTAAAGTCGGTTGTCCTAATGGCGATGTCTTAGGAGATGAGAAAAAAACAGAGCAAAAAGAGGGAGCCATTGCCTATGTCGGGATCACAAAAGACTTCCTCGGGTTAAAACATAGAGATCTATGCCGTGGGGAGTCGATCTTTGGCATAAGGGTGGATGTGTGTAACACCCCAATTTTTATATCCAAATTTTCTTTAAAATTTTTTTTCTTAATTTACAATTTACTAAACTCATAGCGGAAGCATTAACTAATCAAAAGAAAATGGGTGTTACCGCCACACTCAGGTATTTCTCTATACCCAAACGCTAAGGCTAAATTTACAATTTACAATAAACAACTCAAGATATATACTAGTACAAAAAACAACTAACAATTCAATTGTCTAACTAATAAATGATATCTCTAGCTGGTTCGCTCATTCTCATGCCCAATGCTCATGCAAGAGTTCCTGCAAAAACAATTAAAGAATAGAAAACAAAGAAACACACAAATTCAGCATTAAGCTTGTAAGATCTACTTCACCCCGTAAAACATTTTTGCACATAGCATGTAACATACAGGAGAAGATAGTTTACATCTAGAATGACCCCTTAATACATTTTTATTCTCATTAATAATACCAAATCAGTATTTCTCACAATAGGAATTTTAGGAACCATTCAAAAGTAATATATATTTTTGCAATATGGAGGAACACCAATTTCAATACAATGGGCAGGGTCTTGTTTCATCAAGCCCTAGTGAACAGTAATCACCATACTGAACACTACACAAAATCTCATTCAATCTCAAGTAATGGGCAGGGTCTTAATTATTTAAGCCCTAGTGAACAGTAATTCTCTTTACTGAACACTACTCAAAAATCCCATTTAAATCAACCAAATAATGGGCAGGGTCTTATTCGATAAGCCCTAGTGAACATTACTCACTGTACTGAACACTACGCAAAATTCCCATTTAAAGTGGAACAGAACTAATACCTTAAGTGTGCACACCCCCAATGGGTTTCCAAGCCCAATAGGTAGTAACGAGTCCTAGTAGCCAGGATACGTTTCTACTGACTACTACTCAACAGGGTAAATACCCTAGTGGTAGACTCCGCTAACCACTCCTCAAAATACAACAGGACTAAAAGTCCTAGTGAGACAGGATATGTTTTCACTGCTCACTCCACAAAACATCAGAGATTTTTTAAGCTCCCTAGTGAGTCGGTATATTCAACCGCTCACTCCACAACAAACTGGGTCATAACCCAAGTATCCAGAATTTCACAACAGGATACTACACAAGTCTTAAAATCAATTGTCTTTATCCTCAATCTTTATAAAAGTGATAACATTACTGATATTTCTCAAGCAAACAAATTCTCAACACCTCAAATAAGGAACCAACAGAAATTTTCAGAAGGTATGACCTATATTGCAAAATTTATAGAAATATATTGGTAACACATTTTCAGATGAAATTTTCCAGATACAAGGTACAGTGAGTCTAGATTATACACAAAAAGTTTCAAATCAATCCAAGATTTAAAAGTATTTTTCCCGAATTATTTCCCAACACTGCGCCAGACAGAAATTGAACTGGCAGTACACTGCCTCAACTTTACGAAATTTTTCTGGAAAAACTGAAACATATTTTTAACCAAAACTTTTTACAAACATCAAATATAAAAAGTCTAGGTTCTCCATAAAAAATTTCAAGAAAAAAGAAGTTCAGGAAGCAATTTTCACGAATTTTTCTTTCCAGCTGCGCCAGTCAGAATTTTCTCAGGCAGTGATCAAATTGTGTAAAATTTATCCTTTTTAATCACCAAAGAATCACAATATCACATGTGCAGGGATTTCAAAACATCTAAACTCATATATCAACTCACATAATATAATCAAATAACTTACAACACTAAATATCATCAATTTTTCAAAATCACGAATCACATAAACAATTAGAAAAATCAATTTTTGATTTGGGGTAAAAGGATTTTAGTGAACATAAATCTTACCTCGAACCAGAATCAACAAAATCCTTGAATGAAATCCTACGATGAACAGAGCCAGATGATAACAGAAGAAGACCGACGACAAAGCCAGCGATGACAAAAAAAGACCTATGTATATTTTTCTCTTTAATTTTGTGTTCGGTGATATTGGGAAAAAGGAAAACGATGAGAGTATTGACTAATGATTATGATGAAGGGGAGGATTTAATGAATCAGCTACTGATGAGGATGGGAACAATTAGACTCCTACTTAAATACTTAACTAATAGCTTATATTATAAATAATAATTCTAGTTGTAGGAGACTACAATACTTAAAAACTTAATATAATATTAATATACATATTAGCCTACTAGTACTTAACATATATACATACGTAACACATATATAAATAAATAATTATTAGCCATAATACACCGTTTAGAAATAAAAGAGTAGCAGTATTAGACTAGTTTAAATAGTTTTGGGTCACATAAAATAATATAATTTCAGACCGTATAGTAAAAATATTTTATTTAACATAATATCTATTTTATAAAATTTTATTTAGAATAATAATATTTATAACAAAATACTCAAATAACCGGGGTATCACAATGTGTGTGACAACCAACGCTTAAGTCGGGACCACAAAAAGTTTCCCCGGGGTTAAAACACGGAGCTCCGTTCCGGAGGAAATTGGACCTTGGCTTAAGGTTGGTGAGTGGACCATGCCAAACCATTCACTTATTTACTTGTAAAGGACCTTGGCGGTATAAGAATGGGGTCGGTTGGTTTGTACACATCGTTCCCACTAGTGTGGCTCGGCTATAGGCGTTTGTAAGATAAGAGGTGAATACCAATTTTGGATTGCATGCTTCACGAATGGTGTGAGCGGGTATCCCTTTTTTAGTTTTCATTCTATCTTTTAGGAGTATGAGGCTTCCTTAGTATATTCCTTGAGTAGCTTTAGTATGGGTGCATGGCTAGCATATTTATTACATGATATGAGGGACTTCACCCCCTCTGTTTGAGTGACACTTATCTTGATTGACCTTTGGATGAATTAAGTTATCATTGGGTTGGGGTTAAGTGTATCTTTGACACTTAAGTGATCATTGGTTTGATTGAAACTTGCTTGAGGGCAAGTGATTTGTAGCAAAAATGAGATGTGAGCTCGGGTGTGTTATGTCGTCCTCAGGGGATTGGTGATTATGGCACGCAATATGCAATCACAATAAACTAGGCACTAGCATAAGGAAATCAACAAGAAGCTAAGCAAACTACAAGTTTAAGGAAATGATAACACTAACACATATACACAAAGACGAAATAAAGAAATAGGACTCAAGCACGGGAGCATTATCATCTAGATGCTTTAACATCCTAAACGATTAGGCAGAACAAGTAACCAAGGAATCAAGCGGGAATGCACGTAGGTGTCCTAGTCTATGAACCATTCTCGTGATTAATAAACAAGGATTAGAAGAAGGAATTGCCCCAATTTCATGGTGAATCAATTCCAAGTCCATCAAGCACACAAAGCATCTAAAGCCCCCAATTTCCCCTATTTTCGTAGGAAGAAATCGGGTCTATGCAAGGGGTGGCTTGGATTCATCACCCAACTCTCGTTGAGGCAAGGAATCTTCCAAATTAAAAAACAAGCTAATGAATGTGTACATCAAACATTAACAAGATATAAATATAATACCTTCACAAACACATGAACCCTAGGTTGGAGTTCTTCCCCTTTTTTGCAATAATCACAAATCAAGCATCAAGATAGATAATACAACCCTAACTGGAATGTGTGCTTCAATTGTAACTGTTGCAGAGTCAGGGATAAAGCAGATCAACTGGTAATGGAAGGAACACGATCCTCTGACAACTGTTATGTACTGACTAATGAAAATGCTTGTCACCTATCAAAATCAGATGAATCAAAACTTTGGCATAGACGACTGGGTCACATAAACTACAGAGACATGGATAAAATGATCAAATTGGATGTTGTGCGAGGGATACCTAAGATCAGAATAGAACAAGAAGGGATTTGTGGTGCATGTGCCATTGGGAAACAAATAAGAACTCCTCACAAAGCAGTAAAAGTTATTACTACCGAGAGATGCCTAGAACTGGTTCATATAGACCTTGTGGGACCAACACAAACTGAAAGCATTAGTGGAAAGAAATACATATTTGTGTGTGTAGATGACTTCTCTCGGTTCAGCTAGGTATATTTCCTAAGAGAAAAATCTGAAGACTTCAATGCTTTTAGAACCTTGTGCATAAGGGTTCAAAAAGAAAAGAACGAGCCTATAATAAAAATTCAAAGACTAAGAAGTGATCATGGTAAAGAGTTTGAAAACTCTTTCTATTCAGATTTCTGCTCCGAAAATGGTATAGCCCATGAATTCTCAGCTCCCAGAACAGCTCAATAGAATGGTGTGGTGGAAAGAAAGAATCGAACCTTGCAGGAAATGGCTAGAGTTATGCTACATGCATCTCATCTACCACAACGTTTCTGGGCTGAAGCAGTACACACTGCATGTCATACAGTAAATAGAGTCTACCTGAGACCAGGTACGTCCAAAACGCCATATGAGATCTGGAAGGAGAAGAAACCGAACTTGAAGTATTTTCATGTGTTTGGGACAAAGTGTTATGTGCTGATCGATAGGGAACAAAGGGGGAAGTTTGAACCTAAGAGTGATGAGGGCATCTTCCTGGGGTACTCTCCAAACAGTCGAGCAAATCGAGTCTACAACAAAAGAACTCAATCTGTAATGGAATCAGTAAATGTTGTTATAGATGACTATCCTGACGAATCTGTAGAAGCATCAGTAACTGAACCAGAGACAGAACCTCCTCTTAGTGATTAGACACAGCTGAGGACACCAGATCCAAAACTCAATATTCATCCGATGATGATCAAGAAAGTTCTGAACAGGAGACGTCTCTCGTCGATAATGTGGGTAAGAACAAGCCCACCAGAACTCATAAAAATCATCCTTCAGACAACATTATTGGCAATCCAACAGATGGGATGAACACCAGAAGTCGGATGAGAAACAATCTGATAGAAATATCCGGATCAGCCTGCTATACCTCAAAAATTGAACCAAAAAGTGTAAAAGAAGCTTTACAGGATGATTTGTGGATCAAGGCTATGCAAGAGGAGCTGCACCAATTTGACCGGAATCATGTCTGGGATCTGGTTCCAAGACCTAATCGTGTCAACATAATCGGAACAAAGTGGATCTTCAAAAATAAAACTGATGAAGCTGGAAATATTGCAAGGAACAAAGCTCGGTTAGTTTCTCAAGGATACACTCACATAGAGGGAATTGACTATGATGAAACGTTTGCTCCTGTGCCAAGGTTAAAGTCGATCAGAATTTTGTTGGCAGTCGCAGGCATACTGGGATTCACACTGTTTCAGATGGATGTTAAGACAACGTTTTTGAATGGGTACCTGCATGAAGATATCTATGTGGCTCAACCGAAAGGATTTGAAGATCCAGACCATCCATCTCATGTCTACAAGCTTAGAAAAGCCCTCTATGGTCTCAAACAAGCTCCAAGGGCATGGTACGAACGACTGACACAGTATCTGCTACACCATGGGTATAAGCGAGGAAGTGTTGACAAAACCCTATTCGTAAAAACCACTGGAAGTCATGTTACCATTGCTCAGATTTATGTGGATGACATTGTCTTTGGCTCTACTTTACAAAAGTACACCGATGATCTAGTAAAGGTCATGAAGGAAGAATTTGAAATGTCCATGGTTGGTCAACTGACTTATTTCCTAGGGCTGCAAGTTAAACAAAGTTCTGAAGGG